CTAAACAATCAAGTTTCTTATTTTCAGAAGTCTTATCCAAATGTTTTTTTTAAACTTACCCACCACTCATCACTCCTTAATTACCCCCAAACACACCTAAATAGTAAGTTTATTTTATTAAACAGTAAAACAATGTTACACCAATATTTATTTTATTAAACTGTAAAACAATGTTACACCAATATTTATTTTATTAAACAGTAAAACAATGTTACACCAATATTTATTTTATTAAACAGTAAAACAATGTTACAACAATATTTATTATATTAAACAGTAAAACAATGTTACACCAATATTTATTTTTTAAACAGTAAAACAATGTTACAACAATATTTATTTTATTAAACAGTAAAACAATGTTACAACAATATTTATTTTATTAAACAGTAAAACAATGTTACAACAATATTTATTTTATTAAAATGTCATATTAATATTTATTTCCACTAAAACTGTAGTTTTATAGGTTTGATAAAAATTCATTTATTGAGACTATGGAGTAGAGGAGCCATCAACCATCAATTAACTAATCAACGACTCCCCGCTTAAGTTTCAACAAATGTATATAGTACAGTTTTACTAGAATTAGTAAATTTTGTTATTGAAATAAAGCATTTGAAAGTACACAAGCGTGCATAAGTACAGGATTATCCACACAGGATGAGACTTCAGAGACGACTGTACGGAATCTTAACAGCCTTTAATCTTAAATTGATGCTTCTCGGTCGCTGTGATTTAAAGGAGGGAAGCTCACAAATAAAAATTTGATGAGAACTTTTTTAATTACTTCTTAAACACTATGGTTAAAAACAAGTGCTTTATAGGTCCAAAAAAACATGTTTAGGGCTACAAAAAGCATAAGTGGTTTAGAGTGGTAAAATCAAAGCCTGAAGTCGACCCTGTCTTAAAAAATTGATGCAACATTTCAAACCAGGCTGAATCTCTGTGCTAAAGTTAAAAATTAACTGTGTGCATTCTTTGCCAAATCATTTAATACATTTTTAAAAACACATATCAAGAACCACGGACAAAATATTTAACCTCTGGTTCTCCAGAATTAAGGAGTTTTAGGTCTTCATTACAGTCTCATCCTTTGTGGGTAAACCTGTATATAGGATCTACAGATACCGGGGGATAGACTCGAAAAAATGTGACACAACACAATGTAGTTTTTAGTGTGATTGGAGTCATTATTCGTTAAAGTAACTTTTTGTTTTCCGATCCTTCCATTTGGTGTAAAACTACACGAAAATTCAAAAATCTCTCATTACACTAAAATATGTTTAAGAATCAAAAAAAAAAATTTTTCATAGAGAGTATTCCAAACTCCAGAATTTTGAATAATCTGGAAAGAAACTTGAAGAGAGGCTGCAACATTAATTGAGAAAAATTAAAAAAGTTTATTTATTTTCTCTAAAAAAAATATTTGAAAAAGAAATAATAAGAATTATTCCTTGTTTAACGGTAACAGAGGTTTTCAAATATAGGACACTTAGTTTTACACCATATGGAAGCATCAGACAACCAAAAGATGATTAAACGACACCTGCCAAAATGGAAAACTATATGCTGGATTACATTATCGAGTTTTTAATGATATCAAGGGCTTCTTAAAAACCCTAAACCTGAACATTTTTGCAAAAAAACTCTCAAAAGTTAAAAGTTCGTAATACTCATAAAACTTGGTTCAATTGGCCCAGAACCTTCTTCTACCAGTTCTAAACTTTTCTTTCATATATTTAAAAAATTTGAACTATGAACTTTTTTATATCTATTAATATTTTTGATAAATCTTTGAAAATATCAGCATAAGTAATGGGTATTGAAATGTTCATCAAACACTGAATATAAATACGCCGAAAACGTAAAAATCAGTTAAAAAACAAATTACAGGCATAAAACTGATGTCTAGTCCTCCTAACCTTAAAAAATGTTTTATTTTGCCTCAAATCTTACAAATAGACCATGATCTTTAGTTTTTATACACGCTTGCGCTGCCCTATTTTCAAATATAAAAGAGATATTTCTTTTTTTTTAAGTTCAATGAACAATTTTTACCGCATATAGATCTTTAACAACTTTTTTATATTATTTTCTTTTGTTTACTTTGTAATAGGACAGATTATCCATATATATAAAAATGTTGTAATCTCTGTTTGTTGGTCCGATCATAACTCAGGAACCCCATGTCGACCGATTTGCATCAAATTTTTATAAGGGAACTCGGGAGAACCACAGTAATGTTCTTAGCTTAGGTTTGGTATTTTAAGTTTAGTGGGTCGACCTTTATAGGAAAAAATAACTGGGTTCGCAAACTAGTTGTTAAATAAAACAGTTTAGTGAAGCAATAACGCAGTATGCACATTGCACAAGATTGCTTAAAGCCGATTTGCTTGAGCATATAAATTAATTTCGATGAGTTCGATTAAAGCAAATTTTGCTTTAAACATTAGTTTTTTTTGACTTTTTGTAGGATTGCAATTGTATGAGTCATGCAACATACAAAAAACATACAAAATTTCACAATTAAAAAAACGTTTGTCAATGTCAATGTTAATCCAGTCTGAAATTATTGTTTATGCATGCTAAAATTCTGTTCGAACATTGTTTTCTTTATTTTCTATATATTTAATTTAAAGAACATTGCAGAATATATCTAATATTTATGTCTGTAATGTTCCAAATTGTGTAAATGGAAAAACAATAATTCTGAGACGACTTATTTCGTCTCGTATCTCTCTTTTTCATTTAACATAAATAAGATTGGATTGAATTTTTTATTCACATTTCCTATTTAAAATTTTTGATCCAGTACAGTTAATTTCATATTGGAAAAATAGTACAGTAGGTACAGTGTTGAGCAGTTGGTCAGAATTAAACATTTAGAAGCACTTGCGGTGAACAATGGAGGGTCCGCACTCATCATACTCCTGCTTGGAGATCCACATCTGCTGGAAGGTGGAGAGGGAGGCCAGGATGGATCCTCCGATCCATACGGAGTACTTCCTCTCAGGGGGAGCAATGATCTTGATCTTGATGGTGGAGGGAGCCAGGGCGGTGATCTCCTTCTGCATTCTGTCAGCGATACCGGGGTACATGGTGGTTCCTCCGGACATGACGGTGTTGGCGTACAGGTCCTTACGGATATCAACGTCGCACTTCATAATAGAGTTGAAGGTGGTCTCGTGGATGCCGCAGGCCTCCATTCCGAGGAAGGAAGGCTGGAAGAGGGCTTCAGGGCACCTGAACCTCTCATTACCAATGGTAATGACCTGACCGTCGGGAAGCTCATATGACTTCTCGAGGGAGGTGGAGGCAGCAGCAGTGGACATTTCCTGCTCGAAGTCAAGGGCTACATAGCACAGCTTCTCCTTGATGTCTCTGACGATTTCCCTCTCGGCGGTGGTGGTGAAGGAGTATCCTCTCTCAGTCAGGATCTTCATGAGGTAGTTGGTCAGTTCGCGACCAGCCAGATCCAGACGAAGGATGGCGTGGGGGAGAGCATAACCTTCATAGATAGGAACAGTGTGGGAAACACCATCTCCGGAATCCATGACGATACCAGTGGTACGACCGGAAGCATAGAGGGAGAGGACGGCCTGGATGGCGACGTACATGGCGGGCATGTTGAAGGTTTCGAACATGATCTGGGTCATCTTCTCTCTGTTGGCCTTGGGGTTGAGGGGAGCCTCAGTCAGGAGGACGGGCTGCTCCTCGGGAGCAACACGGAGCTCGTTGTAGAAGGTGTGATGCCAGATCTTCTCCATATCATCCCAGTTGGTGATGATTCCGTGCTCAACGGGGTACTTCAGGGTGAGGATACCTCTCTTGCTCTGGGCTTCATCTCCAACATAGGCATCCTTCTGTCCCATACCAACCATGACACCCTGGTGACGGGGACGGCCGACAATGGAAGGGAAGACGGCTCTGGGAGCATCATCTCCAGCGAATCCAGCTTTGCACATGCCGGAGCCATTGTCAACAACAAGAGCAGCAACGTCCTCGTCACACATGTTAGAGCTGATGTATCTGCAGCTAACGGGAGTAAGATCAACACTGATAACATAGAATGCATCCTCTCTAACTTTAATAGACTTACACTCTAATCTTTGTGTCAGAGCCAAGAAAGCGATATATGTCCATATATGGGCAAACTATTGTGAGAAAGCTGACCCCAACCTGACCGTAGGGTTCAGCTTCGAGCAGGTTCTCTAGGTTCTCCAGAGTATAGGTGGGAATATGAGATAATAAATCCTAGGAGAGAGGGGAGAACAGGCTTACTTTACTTCATTACCTATAGGAGAACAGTAAACACAATTATCATAATTTACATAAATCATACTTTTAGAATTATTTTAGTTTTTAATAAATATGAACTAGGGTTTGTCTATGTCTAAAAAAAGAGAAATAGGCTAGGAAAAGTCTAAAAATAAGGTTAAATCTATATAATAAAGCTATTCGGTCTATATACATAATAAATATATATAAACGGCCGGACAAATCGGAATTTTTGAGGGAACCCTGGGGGGTAAATTAGGAAATCAAATTCATTTTTATCCAAATTCGAAATCTTTTATTTTTTTATTTCACGGGCAACGCCGGGCACTTTATCTAGTAATGAGTATAAAGGGGTAAACATAGAATATTATATTTATTATATTATAGAATATATTAGCAGAAGAGTAAAAATGTTTTCGGAGGCGAAGAATCTATTCATTCATTTCAAATTTTTATTTTGGTTCGTCTGTCTGTTTGTTTCTATAAAACGTCATAACGGCCGAAATTTTTGTAGTAACTCATATCACCCAAGGGACGGTTTTTAATCTATCAATGAAAACGAAGAAATCCATGAAATTATGATGCCGTTATTAATTCATAATTTACGAATAATTGGTTACTACAATAACCAATAACCAAGCGATAAGATTGCTCTTAAAACTTTATCATCTTGCATCCTGCAACACATTATTACTGGAATTCATCAATTACACTTTAAATGAAGTAAAAAATGCAATTTATTGTATATTGTATCAGAAAATTAGGCACTAATTATACAGAGAAATTGTCACTTTTTTGGGGAGTTTTGTAAGAAGATTCGATTTCTTTGGATTTACACATTTTACAATTTACATAATGTGTAAATAATATTCAAGACTTCTATACTCTATATGGCGTCATAATTAAGTTATGATATTTTTATCTTATTACAATATTACAAATATTTCAAATTGCAGAATGCAGAATTGGTGGTAAATGATATAAGATAACATTTTATCTAAACAAAGTCGAATTCCGTAAAACAGCAGATCAAGTTCTAAGCCTTGGAATCTTTTACAATCACATGGACAACTCCATATCTCTCGATGAATAGCTCTGACTCCAGGAGTACTTCTTGAAGTAAATATCTAAAACAATAATATAGCAGACAGGGTTACCCACAAAGGTTGAGGCTTCAGAGACGACTGTACAGAATTGTTACTGTCTATTTCCTTATATTCAGGATTCCTTGCAACTGTAAAATTATGTTTCATACTTTACCAAATCATTTAATAAGCCATAAAAAGATCTTATTCCAGACAGAAAACTTAATTAAACATCAGAATCGTCATATTTAAAGATTTTGAGGTCGTCTTCACAGTCTTAGTGCATTTGTGCAGTAAACTGCTGTATATATGTTTATGACAACATTTATATCAAATTTACTTGTCCTACTGCAATTGACCCAAAAACTTATGCCTCACACATTTGTTCAGTATTTCAGGCCCAACCTAGTGAATTTTCTTAGGCATTCATCATTTTAAATTTGTCGTTTGACGGTTTGTTTTTGAATTTTCTATTTTTACTTTGGTAGATTTTTAAAGAAGACGACAATCTAGCCAATTTCCCATTCAAAACCTAAAATCGAATAGTTTCTAGTTTACAGGGTGTCCCAATAAACATGGGAATTCAGTGACGAATTCGATATCGTCTTTTTAAATAATTCTTTGATTTAGGATAGTGATACCTACTGATAAAGCTGTAATCTGTAAGAGTTTCGTCGCTATGCTCACATTTTTTATGTTTTGACTGCATACGGTTGTACTTAGTAAAACAAGAAAATTGCAGTATACATACAGAGTAAACTTGTTCATCTTGCGAAGACATTACAGACACATCTTTGCAACGTCTTTTACCGTTTTCATAAAATAAACTCTAGCAGACATAATAATATTACGGCTTTTGAAATTAGGTATTACAAAGCTAATTCATAACAAAGACGATATCGAATTCGTCACTGAATTCCCATAAATTACAAAATAACAAGGTTCTCTGTTATAGCTCTGCTTCATATTTTTCTTTTTAATATCTAACTCAATTTATATAAACTGAACAACCTTGGCATTTATTTTGGTGAAAAGATGTGCACATAGAACAAAGCACACGCACTGATATTTTAAATAACCATGAATAATAAAAATTGATTCATGATAACTTCAAAGTCGTCTTTGACTATAGAATTAACTTGCGGAATTCAAACCGTGCATTTTCTAGAACTACCTGAGAGGTTACAGTGTACAGATGAGGGGTTTGTCGGAGTCATGTCGGTTGTTAAAGCGGAGAATTCCGGAGCTACATACGGGGCATCAGTCTCATCTTTCACCTAGTTAATCACCGTGCAAAATGTCGTCGTCATTTTAACAAAAAAATCATTATCATATGCATAATTTTTAGTCTATAAACAGGTTAATATTTTTAATTTTAACTAAGAATTTCAGTTTGTTAAATCTGAATCTCGTCTTTTATTAAAAAAAAAGATTTATAAAAAATCCTCAAAAAAAAATACAGAATTTATATATTTTAATATTTTACTGGAATATCAACCTGAGGTTTGAAGGGTGGGATAAGTTTTCTTTTCTCCAATAGGTTCCAGTCAATGTCAGAGAAGAACGGAGAAATCATGATTTCCTCAGCATCTCCCTCCCCTGATCCCAACCTAAACACGGAGAAGTTAAATCGTCAAGGCCGGGTCAAAACCATCTAAATCTTTCTAATACAGGGTGTCCCAAAAAACATGGGAATTCAGTGACGAATTGGATATCGTCTTAGTTATGAATTAGCATTATAATACCTAATTTCAAAAGCCATAATATGATTATGTCTGCTAGAGTTTATTTTATGAAAAGGGTAAAAGACTGTAAAGATGTGTCTATAATGTCTCTGTGAGATGAACAGTGAAGACGGACAAGTTTACTCTGTTTGTATACTGCAATTTTCTTGTTTTACAAAGTACAACCGTATGCAGTCAAAACATAAACAAACAAAATGTGAACATAGCAGACGAAAATCTAACAGATTAAAGCTTTCTCAGTAGGTATCACTATACTAAATCAAAGAATTATTTAAAAAGACGATATCGAATTCGTCACTGAATTCCCATGTTTATTGGGACATAATTTAAATAATATTGTTTTTTTTTTATGATGGTTGGATAAACAAATTTTGACCCTAGAAGAACTTCAAAGAAGTTTCACAAGTTATATTTTTGTTCAACCCACCTTCATTTTCAACATAACAAATGATATAATTCATGTTAGGGGGACATATATTCAGCCTGCTTATAGCAAGTTTCATCAATTTTTAAGACAGGGTCGACTTTAAAGTGTCGCAACACCTTGGACTTTGATTTTACCTCTCTAACTCACTTATACTTTTCTGTCGCCCATTAGATGTATATTGTATATTTTAGCACTTTAACGAACTTGTTAGCTTTGGTTTTAAAAAAGTTATTGGCAAAATTCTCATAGAGTTTTGCTTGAAAGCTCGCAACCTTTGAATCACAGTGAGGGACAGCCAGCTTTCAGTGGTTTTGTATATGCATGAAAACGTAGGATTAAAAATAATACATATCCGGAAGGTACCAGAAAACTATGGAATAAATGTCGTCTTTGGTCTTTCTCAAGAATAAAATACGTCTATAAATAATTAAGGCACATTTAAAGAAATAAAGAAATCCTTCAGCGTCATTTTGTATAAATTAAAGAAATAAGGACCTAAGTTAATCATTTCCCTGTTTATTGGTTACTGCATCTTATGTTACATTCGGTTTATTAGAATCATAATATATATATATACACAGTGAGAACCAGATCACTGTGGAGTAGGAAAACGACTTTTAGACTCAAGTACGGATTTTCCATAGTTCAAATGATTTAAGCTGTGTAGTAAACTGTTCATACATAGACCTATTCCACTTAATAAGGATTTTTAAGCTATTAGAAAAAATATTTGTTTTGTAACACCAACAAATACACATAAAGATTGCTAAAATGTCGTCTCTAAATAACAACAGTTTTCAGGTTCTCACTGTATCTACGATGTATAATGTATATTTGTCACATATTTGTGCGGCCTCATTATCAGTGCTTTACCGTAAGTGCGTTTCTTTTTAAATTCAGAGAATGTTTAAAAATGTTGTAAGCTAATGATAGGACACGTTCCCTGTGCAATCTTTCTTATTTTTAGTTAAAAAATATTTTTTTTCTGTCGACAAATTGATGATAAACCAACCTATTTGTGGAATCTTTCTCTAGAAGTCCAGATATTAGTTCCTTCAGTTCTACACTCAATATACTGGATTTAGGAAACCTGAAAACAACTACAAAATTCTAAGGAATTTTCAAAGATTTTTTGAAGATTTTAAAAAGAAGTTTTAAAAAAGTATAGAGCATCAATAAAAACAACCTTCATTGGGCCTAGGGTTTCCATTCGCAAAACTTTTGCGCAATTTTTGCGGAACGAAACGCAAAATTTTTCTTTCTTTGCGCATCAGTTTTGCACGAAAAAACAACAATTTGCGCAATCATTCGCAAAAGTCATTTCGCGCAAAATTGCCCTTTTCCGCTTTTGCGAAACTCAAGTTTTGCGCAATTCCGCAATTTCGTACCAAAATCCGAAACAGATTGTCCAGTAAAAGTCTCGACAATTTTAGTTTTGGACATGCATATTTCCTAAAAGTGGATTCTTCAGGCATTGGTTACTTTCTTGCATTGTTTTATATGAGATTATAAAGATTTCAGAAATTTGATTAAAAAAATTTAAGAATATAAGGAAGCAACCAATTGAGTGTAGTATAATCGTTATCATACTCGTATGTTAATATTTTTTTATGTATGGAATAAATCTTCAGTTGTTTAATTCTAAGCTTAGAATATCAATTTTTGACAATGTGCCTAAAAAGTTACATTTTGCGTAAAACTTGCGGTTTTGCGCAAATTGCGCAAAGCGCAACTTTCGTAAAAAACATTTCCGGTTTTGCGCAAATTGCGCAAAAAAATAGCGCAAAACCGCGCAAAACTCATTGCGTTTCATGCGCAAAAATAGCGCAAAAGTTCGCAAAAAAAATTTGCGCGAAAATAGCGCAAATTTTGCGCAAAAGATTTAGCCATTTCGTGGAAACCCTAATTGGGCCCATGTAACTACAATTTAACCCAGAACTTGGGAAATCGGAGACACCCAAATAATTTATAAAATGTCCTTTTCACAATTTTTCAATGTTTTTTTTACTATTTTACCTACACTTCAGTAATTGTAAAGAAAATTACGGGAACAGTTTTAAATGGCTCCATATAATTATTTAATAAAAAAAACTAAATATATTCAGCAATCCATTATCAGGAGGTTCTGAGAACGATATTTAAAAAATTCTCTCGATGTCTCCCGAAGTTCCATGGGTTTAACTGTATGAAAAAAGGTATTAAATGGACATTGTACTTGACAGAGATAAAAATTTAAAAAGTAAAGGTCTATCAGAGTTAGAAGAATAGCTTAGAATGCATGTACATTTTAATCCGGAACAGAATCCTGGATCCAGATCTAGCTCATTAATTTTACTGCTTTGCCAAAACTTGTCTGTCCAACGAGGGGTTATAGAAATAAGTCAACACATGTTGAGCAAACGTTTTTTTTTACATAATTAGGTTGATATTTTGCCCCCTGGACCCGTGGATTCGCATAATTTCGCCAAATATTAATGTTATATTAAAATCGTATAATTTGACTAGGTTGGTCGATTCTCTGAAAAATGCGCAATTCAGTCCATTCTGTTAAAACACTTTTCAATTGAATTATGGAAATTTTTTTTTAAAAAGTGGCCGAGAACATTTTGAAGGTTAAAATTGGCATTTTAGAGCAAAATGTTTCATCAACGACAGCCCCATTTAGGGCTACGTGGAAAAAACACTTCTTTGAACTAAAAAATGACGTTAAGTATGCGAAAAAGCTAAAAACAAATATTTTTCTAAGCTGCCATGTTTTGTCTTTGTCTGAATAAGTTTATGAAGTTGCCTTAATTTCTCCTGGAAGATAATCTTAAACATTTCAGCTCTTTTCTCATTATAGAACGGTAGTTCTCCTTAACAAAGCGTATACATTATTTAACATATATTCGTCTGCAAAAATGTTAACATTTTTAACTCAGAATAAATAGGGTTACCACAAAAAATGAGACATCAGAGAGGAACTGCAACCCTAAACTTCTTTTTTCTTTCCAAAATATTAAATATATTATTTAAAGACTATATTCCACCCTCAGATCATTGTATTTAAAGAGTTTATGGTCGTTATTAAAGACTTGGAGAGAATCAAATCCCTGAAAAAGGATTTTAAAATCCGCAAATCAATATTGTTGATCCAGAAAAGACCTACTCATCTTTCTCTCCTTTTATGTCCTCATTATTCATTATGTTTTTATATCTAGAAGCAATAAATGTACTTCTAAAGTCTCATGTTTTGGAGGTAACCCTGCATATTGGTTAAATAAGTTCCAAGATTCACAGTAGTACCCTTTAAACCATACTGACTTGCGGAATTATTCAGCAAAGACAAAGAAAGTAATTGTCAGAATATAACACCTCTCAAAGAGAAAAAAAGTTATCTTCCCCATTCTTGCTCAGAAAAAAGGTTTAAAGGGTACCGTTGTGAATCGGACATGTAATTTTTAAATATATATTTATATAACCTGTGGCCATCTCATAGATTACAACTCCTAAACTCCACCAGTCAACTCCACGCCCATATTCACGCTTCACAAACACCTGTAGAATGCATTCGTAGGATCAGGTGTTTTTAAAAACAGATTCAGTTCTTCACAACACAATTTAGACTTATTTTTATATATTAACGTTTACTAGCTTGGGAACCCAGGTTGCCCAGGGTAGTTACTCCAGCGGTTAATCAGGTATTTTTCCTTTAAAAATCTCACCCACTCTCAACTTAGAATCTCAAAACTATCTCACCCACTCTCAACTTAGAATCTCAAAACTATCTCACCCACTCTCAACTTAGAATCTCAAAACTATCTCACCCACTCTCAACTTAAAATCTCAAAACAAAACAATTCCGTGGTTCTCCCGAGTTTCCCAATCAAATTTGAGGCAAATCGGTCCAGTGGTTTATGAGTTTAGGTCGGACACACAAACAAACAAACAACCACCCAAACAGAGATTATTATTTTTTTTTATCGATTAATGTATGAGAGAAAATGCTTAATAATAAATAATTCAAAATGTTTACTTTAAAAAGGGGCAATTAACATCCTCGAAGTTTATTTAAATTGAAAACGTGATTTATATTAATCCCCACCTCCGGAGCCATATAAGCCGGAGTACCGCACATCGTCCTTGCCAGTCGTCCTTCGAATATATCGTCCTTGCAGAGTCCAAAGTCCACAATCTTGACGTGTCCTTGTGAGTCCAGCATTAAATTCTCTAACTTTAGGTCCCTAGATTAGATTTAAATTCATTTGAAGAATATTATAAAAGTTAAAAAATTGGGAAAATCCCACACTATGTTTGATTAACTAAAGGGAACATGTATTAATGAATAATGATATGCTACAGTGAAACCCTTAATAACGAATACATCGGAAGAATTTATCAAATGTCGTCTTGACAATTTTTCGATGAGTTTTATACTATATTACGTAAATTTCAGTATTTGTGAAAATAAATAAATAGCCGTTAATATGCAGGAACAAATTTAAAGAGTTCCATATAATCATTTAATTAAAAAACTAAATATCTGCAACATTCCATTATCAAAAACTAAAGAATACGACATTTGATGAATTCTTTGGATGTATTCGTTATTAAGGGTTTCACTGTATAAGAATTGTAACTCTGTTAATTAAAAGCTAGAAGAATTATATTAATATTAAACTAAAAAGTTTAAGAATTGTATTGTTTTTTTTATAAAAAGTGATAATAATTGTTTTAATGTTATAAAAAAGTTTTAAGTATTGTATTGTTGTTATAAATAAAAGTTAGAAGAATCGTATTGTTTTGTTCATAAAAGTTAGAAGAATTATGTTGTTTAAATAAAAGTGGGAAAAATTGCATTGTCGTTAACATAAAAAAGATAATGAATAGGCTATTGAGTCCGCCTGCTGCGGAAAATATTATTTTATATATTGTGATTAAAAATTAAATTCATAAATATTGTTTTTATGCAGTACTAAATGATTTGATTTCATGGTTGTTATGGTTCATTCTTTATCAAGTCAGCCACCACATGGAAGTCAATATCATGGATTTTTAAAAATTTTTGCACACAGCTAGAATATCATGAGAAAACATCAATCTCTCAATAACTTAATTTTGTTAAATAAGATTAAGCTAATTCAAACGCCATTTAATATTAATAAGTAAAAGTTAAAAAATTTTTTTTTTCAAATGTCATTAAAGGCTAAAAAAGAACGATTTCTAAAGTTTATGATAGATTAGGATTGACTTAGTTATAGACCTATTCTGGACCTTGCACTACTACTATGATAAACTTTGGGCCTCGCACCACGTCTTCTAGGAATTTAACTAAGCTTCTCCTTGGACAAAATAATCTACCTGTAAATAATCTACCTGTAAATAATACCACGCTGATGAAGGTAACCTAGAGCTAGAACAATCTCTGCTCCGTAGAACGCAACCCATGGCTCAGGAAACTGATGCAACCGTCCTAAAAATCATTAATTATAATTTAAAATTCTTATCAGGCTCCAGTGATTAGAACCAGTTTTGATGGAAGACCACCTGAAAACCCCATTCAAGAAACAGCTATGATACAATTTTTTAGAAACTATATGCTTCATTAACTCCCCACATTCATATATAATCCAACAACTCACCACCTATCTATAATTATATGCTCAAGAAACTCCCCACCTATCTACATGTTCAAACAACTCCCCGCCAACATCTATGGTAAAACAGTTCCCCACCTAACTATAACATGCTGAAACAACTCCCCACTTACCTATATGCTCAAACAACTCCCCATTTACCTATATGCTCAAACAACTCTCCATTTACCTATATGCTCAAACAACTCCATGCTACCTATATGCTCAAACAACTCCCTCCTACCTATATGCTCAAACAACTCCCCACCTATCTATATCCTCAAACAACTTCCCACCTACCTATATGCTCAAACAACTCCCTCCTACCTATATGCTCAAACAACTCCCCACCTACCTTTATGCGCAAACAACTCCCCACCTACCTATGTCCTCAAAAAACCTCCCACCTACCTATATGCTCAAACAACTCCCCACCCCCCACGTACTCCATGACAAAGAAGACCCTGTCGTCGTTGTTGAATGAGTACTTCAGGTTCACCAAGAACGGGTGCCTAAAATAATAAAAATTATTTTAAGAAGTGGTTTTAACTTTTAATTTGATATGAAAAATATAGAAAATGCATAAGATACTTTAAGCTGGGTAAGTTATTTTTAAAATCAAATACAGATATTTTTATCAATTGTAACAACAAATGTTGACCTAAGAGATTGAAGAACTCTGTTCTCCGTCCTGGTATGCTCAACCTCGTCCTTCTCCAGGATCAAGGACTTCTTCAGGATCTTCATCGCGTAGATGGTTCTACTCATCTTCTCTCGACACATTACAACCTTTATACCAATCAAGATATAGGGTTTCCCACGAAACATGACAGTAGCTAGACGTCTTAAAAGTCGTCTTAGATCTTTGAATTAATTTGTGACATTCAGTCGTCAGCCTATAGAATGAATGTTGAAACAATAATCACAAAATTCTCCTATTCCTGGCATTTCCAAAATATGGTCGCCTGAATTTCGTTCAGATTTTAATTTTTTAAAATAAAACCAAAATTGTCGGAATCTGAACGAAAGTCTTAGTATCTCCAGTAATATTGAAAGTACAGAAAAGGCAGACCACATTTTGGAATTTCCACTACTAGGGGAATTTTGTGATTATTAACTTAAGAATTTTACTTCTAATATAAGGTTTACGAATAAATGCCACAAATTATTTCAAAGAACAAGACTACTTTCAAGTCGTCTTGCTACTGTCATGTTTTGTCAAACCATTGAGAATTGAATGTATACAAATCAAGATATGTTAGATTATTGAGAATTGAAATAGGGAATTAAAATATATTAATAATTATTAAAATATATATTTGGCTAAACCGATTGCCCATTTTTTATAGTATCTCATACAGTGAAACCCTTAATAACGAATTCGAAAGAATTCATCAAATGTCGTATTCTTCACTTTCTGATAATAGAATCTTGCAGATATTTAGTTTTTTAATTAAACGATTATATGGAACTCTTTAAAACTGTTCCCGCATATTCATGGCTATCTATTTATTTTCGCAAATACTGAAATTTACGTAATTAGTATAAAACTCATTGAAAAATTGTCAAGACGACAGTTGATAAATTCTTCCGATGTATTCGATATTAAGGGTTTCACATAACCCCCTGGTTCATGGTAACCAACGACTAGAAGAGTCTTCACTGGATATTATAGTCTCAAATTGCTTGACAAGGAGGACGACATTTTACATCAGATTAGAACGAATTAAATCAAGCAAACTCACCTTTCCAAATGCGCCTTTCCCCAAAACTTTCAGGATTTCAAAATCCTCTAGGTTGACCTTCTTCTGAGGACTTCCAACATTTACTCGAGCATCTTCTGTTCTTGGTTTCCGGCAATTCTCTTCCAATGCGTCCCGGACCTGGAATTAGATAAAAAATTAATTTTTAAATGAGGCACTTGACAAATGGACTACAATGTAATTCATAAACAATCGAATTTTCTCTAGGAAAAATAAATATATATAATACAGTGGAACCCTTAATAACGAATACATCGAAAGAATTCATCAAATGTCGTATTCTTCACTTTCTGATAATGGAATGTTGAAGATATTTAGTTTTTTAACTAAATGATTATATGGAACTCTTTAAAACTGTTCCCGCATATTCATGGCTATTTATTTATTTTCGCAAATACTGAAATTTACGAAATATAGTATAAAACTCATTGAAAAATTGTCAAGACGACATTTGATAAATTCTTCCGATGTATTCGTTATTAAGGGTTTCACTGTATACAAACCCAGTAATTTTTTGTCAACTCTTAGTACTTTTTGTAAATTTGTCTTCTATAATTTAAGCAAGTTTTTAAATGAGGAATAAAGGTTTTGAGTTGAACACAAGAGTTTAAACTAGAATATTTAATAAGCATAAAAAGTTATGATTATTGAAAATTTTTCAATGAAATTATAGTTTTAGTGGGAAAGGTGTAGCAAATATCGTAGGAAACCTTATCTGTATATAAATTTGGCTTGTCTGTTTGGGTGTTTGTTTGTTTGTCTGTCTGTTTGTATCCAATAAACGTCAAAACGGCTGAACCGATCGGGCCCAAATTTTTTGTGGGACATCTAGGGACCCCAGGGAAGGTTTATGAATGATTGAAATTTTAAATATTTGTCTCAATCAAAATTCGATCGTCATTAAATTTTTAAAAATTTTGAAAATCCAAGAAATTTTTTGTGAAAATCCGCGAATTATTTTTGTTTTGTTTTACGATGTACACAAAGAGAACATGTTCACAATTAATTTAGAAGATGGGCGCGAGGCGCCCTCTAAGGCTAGAAAGAAGGGCGCGAAGCGCCTTGAATTTCTAGTAATTATAAATCTGAACATAGTGGCAATCAAATAATTATTATTTATGTACATTTGTCCCGTTTATTTACCTGTACAATAAAATGAAACAACTCATCTCTTGCTGTACTCTCTGCAGTACATAGTAGTCTCTCTACGTCAGTATCCATGTACAGGCCTCGTATAACCAAGCAGTTCGGCCTGAAAATATATTGGAGATGTTTAAATACAGCCACTGCCAGCGTCACCACACTAAATTTATTCTAAAATAAAAAAAAAAACATTTAACTACAAATGATTTATCATCAGAATAATATATAATAGCAATAAGCTTTCGAGAATTAAGCAAACAAAATGCTTTAGTTTCATTTTTTACAATTCGATCTTTTTATCAACATCATTTATAAGTTTTTTCAATGAAAATCAATATTGAGTTACTTCTTCTACAGAAAGCTTATAATAAAAAATAATTTTTTTTTACCTGGGTTGCTCCGTCCTGCGCACCTGACAACCCCTGATTGTATAACAGTTGAGAGGGAAGTCAAGTTCCTCCTGCCACAGTACTTTTATTTTTTAACGTGACTAACATGTCTTTGCACGCTTATAAAACATTCATTTTTTCATTTATTTATAACAATCATTTACGTACAGGGTGTCCCACTAAACATTTCGAAACAGTTTTTAAAAACAAATTGCGACAAAGTTTGTTTGGATGGAAGGGATGAGCAAAATAATGTATTCATTGATAAATTAACTACTTCTGTTGTTATTCATTGTTTTCGTATACGTACTGTACACAGACCCCTTAAACTCTCTGTAAGAAGTCCTTTTCTGCTACTTTTCTACAATTTTTAAGTCTGCAGAGGAGGCACAACGTCAAATTCTCTTTACAAAAACATCAGATAGAAAATAAAAGCAGTACTTATCGATTTCATAATTCAGTTAATTTAGTACACTGCCCCTTTTCGGTATAAAACAGCCATTCCCGTTAATAGCAGACCATGGGTCTAAATTTGTGTTAGTCTTGTGTTAGTCCCGACCAAAGATATTTCAAATGCACTGTGCCTAGTTTAAAACATGTCCCAACAAAAGATAATTCGAATGCACTGTGCCTGAAATGTTTTTAAAACCTGTCCCGACCAAAGATATTTCAAATGCACTGTGCCTGGTTTAAAACCTATCCCAACACAAGATAATTCGAATGCACTGTGCCTGGTTTAAAACCTGCCCCAACAGAAGATATTTCAAATGCACTGTGCCTGATTTAATGGTTTATTCTTATACCCCAACAGTTCTCCGTCAGACAGCAGCATAAAGTACCTAAGTGATATTAAAATTGGTGTTTCCGGTTATTACAGTTGTCAAAAATTCATCAGGATATTTGTATCCGATGTATAATATCATCATGTGGTGGTGGTATCCAAAATATCAATTTGGTAAGAAAATACAATTTTGAACAAATATCTATATCGGCTACCATATTATAGGGTAGACCTGAAGAGTTTAGAATAATCCAACGATTGTATTTTCTGCATGCAATAAAACTGAAATTTTGCCACAAACTGAAATTTTCTAATCCTTATATCTCTGCAACCGGATGGTTCAAATCTAAGATATTTCAAACTTAGATATTTGTTATGACAGATTTCAAAGCTTGAAATATCTAAGGTCTACGACATTGGATTGCAAAGATATAAGAATAAAAAAATTTGAGTTTGCAGCAAAAACTCAATTCATTTAATTTTAGACAATTAACATTTTTTAACAGATTCAAGTTTTTAAATCACTTAAAACTAAAATTTTAACTAAAATCTAATTATTGTTTTAAAGGAATTGAGTTTTTGTCACAAACTCTGATTTTCTTATCCCTATATCTTTGCATTTCAATGTCGGAGACCTTAGATATTTAAAACTATGAATTATTTTAGATCAAATAATGATAGTTTGAAATATCACAGGTTAACACCATCAGGTTGCAAAGATATAGCGATTTGAAAATCAGAATTTGTGGCTAAAACTCAGTTCCTTTTAACTAAAATCTAAAAATTGTTTTGAATTTTAACTAAAATCTAAATATTGTTTTGAATTTTAACTAAAATCTATATATTGTTTTGATTTTAACTAAAATCTATATATTGTTTTAAATTTTAACTAAAATCTAAATATTTTTTTGATTTTAACTAAAATCTAAATATTGTTTTGATTTTAACTAAAATCTAATTATTGTTTTAAATTTTAATTAAAATCTAAAAGTTGTTTTGAATTTTAACTAAAATCTAATTATTGATTTGAATTTTAATTAAAATCTAAATATTGTTTTGAATTTAACTAAAATCTAAATAATGTTTTGAATTTTAACTAAAATCTAAATATTGTTTGATTTTTAACTAAAATCTAAATATTGTTTAAAATTTTAACTAAAATCTAAATATTGTTTTTAATTTTTACTATAATCTTACCGTTGTCTCCAGTTTTTCCAATGTTCTCCGCGCTTTAACACAAATCCTTCCCAAACTGTGTTTGCTCCAAGCTCACCCGTCCTCAGCTCAACCTCTGTATCACCAATCTCAAACGTCCTAACTCCGATCCCAACATTCGAGTTCGATCTTCGAGCAGTAGCAGGCCCGAATTCGTAGTTCAGGATTTCTGAATCTGAATCTTCTCCCATATCGGAGAACATCTGCCCAGGGTCCAGCGGAACCAGGATACCAGGAAGGTTCTGATCCATGATTAAGGTCACCAGGAGTCAGGAGAACAAGTTGGATAGATCACTGTAGGTCTGAGAAGTGATGTTGAGGAACTGTAGGTTCAGGTGAGTAATACTACGCAGTAGAATGGAAACCAGTATCCTGAGCGCTTTACTACTGTCTCGTGTCTACTCTACTGTACGGAGAACTGTGAGTCCCCATTTCCCCAACTCTCAGCTCTGCGGGTTGGACCTGGAGAAATCCATGAGGAGGTCTTATCCCTCTCAGCTCAATCCCTCCCGGAAAGAAGATTTAAAGTAGGGAGATTTAAATCAGATTTCTTCCCCCCAAGTTACGGCATGGGGTCACAGGTCATCAGAAACAGAAATAAATTTTTTTAATTCCGAAAAGAAAAACTTTAATCATTGAATTTGAAAAAAAAAACTAAAAAATTAAGAAATTAGACGTTTATCCTATTTCTTAATTCTGAAAATAGGTTTTTAAATAGAACCTCGAAAGGAATTGAGTCTTTGCCACAAACTATGAATTTCTAATCCATTTATCTTTTCAACCCAAATAATTAGGTCAAACAGGAATTTAAATCATCAGAATGCAATGATATAAGAGCCTAAAAAAATGAGTTTATGGCAAAGACTCGAATTCTTTCTGAATCTTTGAAAATATCTTTAAACCCAATAAACTTTAGTGTCCAAAACAATATTTCTTGTTGATTAGTAAATGATATTGTTTGATATTAAGGAAAGGAAAAGCTTATTTCCCCTCAAATATAATTGTTCCAAATTTTTATTTCCTATATTACTATTTACTAATAATTACTATATCCAAAACGTGATTCACACATTGAATATAAGACGGAATAATAAGGCTCGCAATTCATTCAAATTCCTATTGCTGACGAAATCGCAAAAAACCCTCTTAATCTTCATTTGATAAGAAAATGATAAAAAAAAACATTTCGTCCGAGTCGAGGGAAACATCTTCGGTGTACGGTAAATTGCTCTCAAACGCCGTTTAAACCATCAAAGTAAGCTTATTATTCAAAAATATGCTTGGTCTCTTTTCCACAGATGTTTTCAAGCTTTTTCGTCTACTAAGCGTTTTCTTTATTTCACTTGAAAGTATTTAAGTAGGTACATTTTGCTCTAAATGGCCATTTTAACCTTCAAAAGTAGGCCTCATATTCGAAAATGTTCTTAGTCTCTTTTTTAAAGAGTTTACAAAGCAAATAATAATAATTATCTTTATTTTAGATTCATGACTACATTTAGTTGAGATTACAGTTTATAACAATAACATATTGAACATGAGAAGTAAAATAAAATAATATTACATTTTAGTATGAATAGGCATTGTACCAAAAGAAACACTTTTTAGTACAATAAACCGAAGTTTAGTAGGAGGAAAGCTTAACCACACTTTTATCCGAGACACCTAGTAAAATATCTTTGCAATCTGATGAGGTGCCTTCGATATTTAACCTTATATTACTTAATATAACAGAATTTATAGTTTAAAGTCAACCATCTGGGGTGCAAAGATATTGAGATGAGAAACTTAATACCTTTATATATTTGGCTTGTCAGTTTTTCTGTTCCAATCAAGGTCAAAACGACTGAACCAATCAGGCCCAATTTTTTTGTAGCAACACATATAATTCCAGGATAAGTTAATTGGCTGGTAGAAGTTTGCCTGAAAAATGTTGAACACTTCTCATACATGAAAATGCACCAGCTTTGTTTATGGAGAGGGACATAAAAGCCTTGTATTATTATGCATACCCAGAAATATACGTTCTACATCAGCTTTAATGATATTTATCCTCATTTTTCCCTCTGGAAATTTATTCTCAACAATTGCGATTCTCTATATGTATCAGAGACTTGCAGATGTATTCAGCAAAAAAGGAGGAAGGAATTTTAAGAAAAGGAAGATATATTCTAATTGCTACTCATTAGAAGCAATTTTAAGAAAAGAAGGATATATTCTAATTGCTACTCATTAGAAGGAATTTTAAGAAACTAGCCTTAGAGGGCGCTTCGCGCCCATCTTCTAAATTAATTGTGAACACGTTCTCTTTGTGTACATCGTAAAACAATACAAAAATAATTCGCGGGTTTTCACAAAAAATTTCGTGGATTTTCAAAATTTTCAAATATTTAATGAAGATCGAATTTTGATGGAGACAAATATTTAAAATTTCAATCATTCATAAACCTTCCCTGTGGTCACGTGATGTCCCACAAAAAATTTGGGCCCGAACGGTTCAGCCGTTTTGACGTTTATTGGACACAAACAGACAGACAAGCCAAATTTATATATAGAAGGAAGATATATTCTTAATGCTACTCATTAGAAGGAATTTTGAGAAAAGGAAGATATATTCTAAATGCTCTTCTTTAGAAGGAATTTTAAGAAAAGGAAGATATATTCCAAATGCTTCTCATAAGAAGGGATTTTAAAAAAAAGGAAGATATATTCTAATTGCTTCTCATAAGAAAGTATTTTAAGAAAAAGAAGATATATTCTAAATGCTACTCCTTAGAAGGAATTTTAAGAAAAGGAAGATATATTCTAAATGCTTCTCATTAGAAGGAATTTTAAGAAAAGGAAGATTATTCTAAATGCTACTCATTAGAAGGAATTTTAAGAAAAGGAAGATATATTCTAAATGCTACTCATTAGAAGGAATTTTAAGAAAAGGAAGATATATTCTTAATGCCACTCATTCGCATCATTAATTTAACATTGTGAATCTGACATTCCTACCTCACCGTACACAAATTTAGTCTACACCTCTAATCCAGATCACTTTCTCTAGTATCATCTGCACATAGTAATCTTAATATTTTCCTTCGGAGTTTAAAACAGGAACTTTATTAACATAAAATAGAATTATAAATGATCAACATTTACTCTCACTAAAAACTCAAGTTGGGAATCAAATTTCTTTAATCGAATAAAAGAAAATATTTTGTGAACAAATTATCCCAATATTATTTAATGATGAACTCTGACTGGGAGATTTTGTTGTTTGAAATCAAGACGCAGGAGTTTATTAGTCATCTCCGCAGTCGAGCATCTTAGGATCCTAGCTTCCAGAAACCTTGATCCAGAACCTTCCAATTCAACAACAGACAGATCTTGGATCAGTGTTATTCAAAAAGAAGAGATTCTTTGATGGATAGAAACTGGATTATGGATACCAGGATCCTTTAGGGCCAGGGATCAAGAACAACTTGAATCCCTAGCTTAGAATGAAAAAATCCATCATGGCGGGAGCAAAGAATCCATCCATGGATATTTGCCAACTCCGTGATGGATATTTGGACGCGTCAATCCAAGATCTTATTTTGATGAATATATATCCCGGTATAATGATTAATATGAATATAGTTGGATATATATATGTATATCTCATTTACACCGACCCTTTCAGCAAATGTAGAAAAATATAAAAAAAATATTTCAGTCTAACACTGGATGATTTGTAAAATTTATGAACGAATCCGAAAATTAGGATTGACAAAAAAAAAGAATTTAGGATTTTAATCCAGTTTTAACAAAAAAAAACTGCAGGTAAACAATCACACCGATTTGTATCGGGAACACAGGCACAGCCATTGGTCTGGACAGCTTGGAGAGATCAGCTGATGTTGGTTCTGGTCGGACTACAAGCTGAACGGACTGACGCTTTTGACGCATTTAGAGCAGCAGATCTACGCTACTAGAATTAACAGAGGTAGCAGCAGAAGCAGCTGAAATATAAAGCTTCTTCACTGGCAATAGATTTTCATACATAGATTTAATGAACTAGCAGATGGTTGATTATATGGCTAGTATCACTACTTAAAATCGCGATCTTAAATATATAAACGCCATTATAGTGTGGATTTCTACATCTAGATTCTAGATGCTGGCGCATTTAGAAACTGCTGATATCAAGATATATAGAGCTGTGTCTACTCCAAGAGCTAACAGGATGGAGAGGCAATTACAGCCGGGCCACAAAGATCCTGAAAAATGGAGACTTTTAATTAATTTAGCTAAGCTATGAATTTGACACATGTAAATTAATTGAAATTACTCTCCACTTAAGGAGCTGCATAGGCATTTATGCAGCGTCTTTGTCAATGGCGAAAGGGTCAGATGTCACAACTTCACCAGAAAAATGACAAAATCTTTCTTATTTAAAAAAGTGTAGCTGAAGTCCCTCACTGAAAAAAAATCAAAAACTATTTAAAGCAAAACCAGTGTGCAACCCTAAACCGGAAGTTTATCTAATGATATATACCTGAATCTTTATGACCTTGTCTCCAGTTCTATATCCGGAGAGATGCAGGCTCTGACTCTGCATGGACTTCCTCCGCTGGAGGAGCCTTGACTCCGATGGCGGAGATAATCCAACCTCGCCTTCATTTGGCCTCGCCGGTATATCCCAGAGGTTCACTGAACAGAGAAAACTTTATAATATTTGGTTTATGACAAAATAACAAAAATGTTAATTCAGGGGACATTAGTCCCAAACCTAACACTTGGCCCATTTCTAACACTGAGTGTTAGAAATGGGCCAAGTGTTAGTTTTGGAACTAATATCCCCTGTAATTGACATGTTAATGAAGAATTTGTTTTTCCCAGGTGTTATTTAAAAAATCAACTTATTAAATTTTTAAATATCAAATAATTATTTTATGAATGTATGAATAATAAAAGGTTTCCCCTGAAAAATCGACTGAAATTAAGCCAGGATCTTGTACTTTTAATCAGATAAGCCAACAGGTTTTTAAACAGTAATAACTGTTTAATAAACTGGATTAAGTCCAATAAAGAGGAAAGGGTCTGAAAAAAATCAGCATCTTTTGAATTAATAAATAACCGAATGGGGTAAAATTATATTAAGGATATACAAATATATAATCTTTTGTATTTTACTAGTTTCAAGTTGGCCATGGGTATCGTCTATGCATGAACCAACAACAAGAAAATGATTTTGCTTTAGAACTATTTCTGAGTGAGTAGTTTAAGGTTTATGTTAATATTACATTTTTATTATAATTGGTGATATATTTACAAACAAAATCTGGTAGTTATGAATTTATATAATCAGACATCGCCATGAGAGTCCATAATGATTTCCGAAGTATTTCATAATTTTCACCAAAACTTCATTTAATTTACCCCCGACCCCCAATCAAATCCTAAACCTTTTATTTGTAAAATTATTCTCGAGATATAAAAATATCTCACTGAAAGATTTTCCAGAAAATTCCCTTTTTTACCTGAGCAATGTTGGAGCATAACTCGATTAACCGCCGAAGCAGACTCCGCGAACTCGTTCAGATGCTTGGCGTTGTTATTGAGGCGGAACATGGTGGAGGACGGTAGCTCCGTGGTGCTGTTGGTCTCCAACCAGGGATGAGAGAGTACCTTGGCGGCACTCAACCTCATCCTAGCATCCTGAACATAACCAGGGGTTAGAATTTAGAAAATATGGTCAAGAATTAATTTTTCTTTTAATACGCAAAAGTAAAAATGATCAAAATACTATTGGAAAATTACAAAATTTTCAGAAATGAGAGAAATAATTAAATAAAATTTCAGTTAAAAAAAGAATAAAATTATATTTACTTTGATAAGAAGTTTCGAGATAAGATCCTTGGCCTCTGCTGAGACATGACTCCACTCCTCCTTGTGGAACTCGAACCTGCCCTCCTGGATGTTATTGAACAGGTTCGCCTGGCAGTCGTCACAGCTCTCACCCTGGTTCCAACCACAGGCAGAACCACACTGCCCGGAGAAGGGTGGATATCCACAGAGTAGGATATACAGCATCACACCCAGGGACCATAAATCACATCTAAACAATATAATAATAAATAAAAAACTCAAACAATCAATTCTTATTGAAGTTCACAAAACAAATGTAACCTACAGTCTAATATTTCTTAAACCTCAAAGCTAAAAATTAACCTCAAAGCTATAAATTAACCTCAAACAAAACTATTTTGACTTTAAATAAACTGTTATGACCGTAATTGACATAAAAGTCATTAAAAAAGTCATTAAACTGCCATTAAAAAGTAAAATCAATATGAAAAAATGTGAAATAAATATATCTAAATAATCTACCTTTTATCATATTTGAGATCAAGCTCATTATCCTCGATGAAGGCCTCCACGATCTCTGGGGCCATGAACTCTGCTGAACCTACGGGGGTCAGGAGTAACGGAGTTGTATCACTTCCTCCTCCACTGAACAATTTGAAATGTTTAACATTTGACAAAATCAAAAAAAAAAAATGCTGAATCCTCATTTTTCTCAGAGGTTTTATTTGCATTTAATGCATTTAGCAACAAAAATACCAAAAAATTTATTTTAAAAAATAATTTTTGCTAAGGCAGCGTTTATTTGTCTTTTAATCTACGCATTTCAACGTACTTTGTAGATTGGATAAAGCACTAGAACAGTGTCACAGAAAGTAAAATGTGAACTCACCTATGGAATTTTATCCCACTGCCCAGGTCAAAATCACAGAGTTTGACCGGCGTAATTCTATCCGGATGAACGCACAGAACATTCTCAGGCTTCAAATCTCGGTGCGCAATTCCTTCAAATAAATTCATTTAAAAAACAAGTTCAAAGGAACGGCTAATAAAAGTTATTTTTCTGAAAGGTTTCACAAAAAAACTCCTCTTATCATGGATATAAACTGTATCAGTATATTGTGTGTACTAATTACTAAAATAAATAAATATATTTTTTTAAGGGGGCGAGGAGAAGATTAAATATTTATCCCTTTAGAACTTGAACCCGAAACCTACTTAACGGTAAGGTTTCCAACAGTACTTCAGTTGAATTATAAATATATTTTCATATAAATTATAATCTCGCGCTACCACTAAATCAATACTTGTTGCAACAAGGTTTTTAATTTTAGGAGATTACGGAGCAATGTAAATCCAGATAAGCTGAAACTTCAAGGTAACAACAATATTATTAACTATTAATATAAAAAGTAGAAAAATATAAAATGTCGATATCAAAAAATAATTTAGTTGTTCCCCTCTAAGGACCGACCAACACAGGGTATAGAAAAATAAATAACATTTATTACTATGTACTTACTACTTATAAGATAGAGATCAATGATTGATCTGAGATTCAAATTTAAACATCTTATAAATTTCTGACTCATTTTCCAATTTAGATTTAAACATCTGTTGTGCTAGAATAGTTTAATAAAATGCATTTTTGAATTCAGGTCAAATTTTGGCAAATACCTTTGCTGTGAAGGAACTGAAGGGCGGAGGCCACATCTCGAACAATCATCGCAGCCTCACGCTCGGAGAAACATTTCCTCCGTTGAATATGGTCAAGGAGTTGACCTCCTCGAACCTTCTCGAACACCAGGTAGAACCTTTCCGACTCCTCGAAGTACTCGACCAGCTGGATGATATTAGCGTGGCCCTACAAGACCGTTTAAATTAAGATTTCATCAATCAAGAATATACATTTCAAGAGACGAAAGACGTAAATGTGTGGCATGTCCGATACCCACCGATACCCTGTAAAAACCTGTTCAAGGATGGATGATATATCCTAGACAATCCTGAGACAAAGGAGAACTTTTTTAGAATTCTAGTCGTTCAAAGATTTACACATTTTCTCCCTCTTTGTTACTAAGAATTAAGATAAGGTAACGTTTTGATATTTTTTTCTAAATATATTTTTAATAAAAATGACTTTAAATTACGTTTACAATCCCATTTAGGATTATCAATCTTTTCCCCATTCGCAACACCATCCCATCCCATCCCATCCCATCCCATCCCATCCCATCCCATCCCAAACCTGGCAGTGATGGAAGGTATCTATCTCCTTGAAGACCCTTGTTCTGCTGTGACCGGGCACCTTATCAATGATCTTGACCGCGTACTCCATCTCTGTGTATATATTGATGCAGGTGCGTACACTAGCGTACGCTCCCTGGCCCAAGATATCATCTGTTAACCGGTATAGCTCCTAAACAACAGATTTTATCAAATAAAGTTCAAGAGATTTTTAACTAAACAAAGTGCTAAACGGTTGAAAACAAACTCAACTTAGTTGACACCTAAACCTGATTATTACGCATAAAGATACTTTTCTATGTTAAAATGTTATTCCTATGCACTAAGTGACCCCCATTACAAATTTAACCAAAGTACGAAGAATAGTTTAACCTATAGTTTAACGATCAGATAACAAATAATCTAAATTTCTAGTCACATATTCGCAATTTATTCAGTTTTCTAGGCCACGTTTCAGGCCTGCAGGCAAAGTATGCAGGCCTTTCTTTGTGCAAAAAAGAACGGCACACAAATCAGTCTGTGCAAGTGTGTTGCAAATTTAGTTTTAAATCTACGCCTTTACCTACGCATATTTTAAAACCAGTTTTTTTATAGCAGGCCAATTTCGCAGTTAAAACAATAACGCACTTTCAAAAGTAAAAATAAATTTGTAGTTTGATAATAGTAAACACATGAGAGGCGGATCGGGTACTCTATGACGTTGTGATTATATATCGTCGAGTTTTGTTTGTACTGCGTGGTGTTCTCAACTACGCCGAAAAATATCAGGCCATTTGTTGAGTTTAAACTAGACATCGTAAAGTACGAGAAGGAATCGAGGGGGGGGCTTATCTTTAAAAATACATATTTTTCTTGTATACAGTTAGGACACACATGACACGCGGTTTTCTATAAATAACCTAGTGCTGACCTAATTTATATTCATTTTAACACAAATTTATTTTGTTTTTTGTGTCAACAAATTTTTATTCACAGGAAGTTTTTTGAACACTTGTTAACCATTCCTGAATTAAGGTTATATACTTGAGTGTATTTTGGCGAATGGACGGAAGGGGGGGGGGTATGAATGTAAAAACAAATAACCTTCTGAGGAATTTTAATCAGTACAGGGTTCTGTGCAGAAACGAGTGCAAAATTAAGTATTCGGCAAATATAAGTTTTAAAAAGGGGGAAAACACACTCAGTCACATGCACACTCAGTTCGACAAGCCCCCCCCCCCCGTCCACTCCTATGTTTTTGAATCGTAACAAAAAGCTCAAAAAAGTCAAATTTGATTCATAAAAACTGTGTGTCATATCTCATAACCACTATTGAACACTTGTTTCTTCCCTGATTGCATTTTAAAAATTTTCCTCAATAAAAAATGTCTTTATTGCCTGTATATTTGTCATGAATCTGACAAAATATAGAAAAGAATGTTTTTAGTTGCCTTTCTATGATTTAACGGAAGCCTTAATTTAACGGAAGCTTCTAAGTTTCAGGAACATATTGGAGCTAGGGAAGTGAAACTTTAGTATACCTGGAACGAATTAGAAGCTAAGGAAGTGAAACTAAGTATACCTGGAACGTATTAGAAGCTAAGGAAGTGTAACTAAGTATACCTGGAACGTATTAGAGGCTAAGGAAGTGTAACTAAGTTTACCTGGAACGTATTAGAAGTTAAGGAAGTGTAACTAAGTTTACCTGGAACGTATTAGAAGTTAAGGAAGTGTAACTAAGTTTACCTGGAACGTATTAGAAGTTAAGGAAGTGTAACTAAGTTTACCTGGAACGTATTAGAAGTTAAGGAAGTGTAACTAAGTTTACCTGGAACGTATTAGAAGTTAAGGAAGCGTAACTAAGTTTACCTGGAACGTATTAGAAGTTAAGGAAGTGTAAGTAAGTATACCTGGAACGTATTAGAAGCTAAGGAAATGTAAGTAAGTATACCTGGAACGTATTAGAAGCTAAGGAAGTGGAACTGGCAGTTTTCTTTTTCTTTCTTCGTTTTATCTTTGCTTCCTCTTTCCTTGCAGCAATTGCTGCTGCTCTCTCTGTCTCATCAACTAAAAATTAATAAAACTTTATTTTTTGCAAACTTCAGATAATATTGAGTTCATCCGCTATACATCAGCAATCAAAATAATTTTCTTATCTATTAAAATTCTGCTTTTTGTTTTCAGCAAAAAAAATATAAGAGAAGAAAGAATTTGCAGAGTAAGCAACATAATAAAAAAGCTCGATACAAACAACGGATAAGCATTTAATGCATTTTTAGCCTTTATTTTTAACGAAGAGTTATTATGGCTAAATAGTGTTAACAGCAGTGCAAAATATTTTCGCAAACAATTTAACATTCATTTAATAATATCTTTTCTTGTGTCACTTGTCAACAATATAGAAATAAAAGTATTAATAACTAATTTCCACACCTTCGTTTTCATATATAATCGTCAACGTTATGTTCAATCCCATTTTTCAGTAATTCATATAATCCTAGTTCTACATGTCGCTGGGTGAGTGATCCTGAACCCACTAATCATATATCCTGCACTTGTGTATATTTCGGAACCTTTCTTCATAATTATAATTACGTAAACACAATTTTTTTTCATGAAAATGTGAAACTTAAAATTTTCGAATTATCATTTCAGAAAAATAAGCTGACATCAATTATCCATATTAGAGACTTACTGTTCCAACATACACATATCATGGGGTTGTCTTGTAGGGTGTTTTGGAGTTATTGTCTTTTTTAAACGTTGAAAAAAGTTTTTTGAATTGGTAAACACAATTAATCTGAAAAGATGGTGGAAAAATAAAATTATCTTGTAATCACCCTGCCGTATTTAACAGATGGAGAATACGTATGACCAGGTGGCATCTTCTCCTCTCCCTAGTTTAGTCCAGGTTAGAACATGATCTCAACCCTACTCCTCGTCCTCCTACCCTCTCTCCAGGTGGTAGTTGGAGTACACAACAAGATATTAACAGAAGAGAACTTCAAATCCGTCCTGGAGAATGGAGAATATACTTTTGTCAAGTTCTTCGCTCCCTGGTGTCCGCACTGTGTTAATATTGAGTACGACTGGGACAGGTTGGCTGATGATATCCATGATGATAAAAACATAGGTAAGAGAAAACTTTTTTTATATCATTCCAGTGATTAATTTCACAGGGGATAAATGTGTAAGCATTGAATTAAAAAAACTGAGTCTTTCCATCAAAATTAAATATTCGAATGCCTTTATCTTTGCAACCGGATGGTGTATACGTTTGACGTTTCAAACATATTTGATAATACAGAGTTGAAATATCTATGGTCTACACCATTGAGTTGCTCAGATAGTTATTTGAAAATCAAAGATTGTGGCAAAGACTCAATTTCTTTAGTTTTATTTCACACTTTTTTCTATTTTGTAAAAAAATTAAAAATTTTAGAAAAAAAAACTTTTTATTTCGACTCTAAGCTCTCGACTGATTTTGCAGCAGGACCCCGAATAACAGTTGGTGAGGTGGATTGTACAAGAGAGGGCAGTGTATGTACGGGAGAGGGAGTAAGTGGATATCCAACCATAACTTTGTACAGACACGGCCGAGTTGAACATAATTACCAATACAACAGAGACTTTGACAGGTACTAGAGCTACAACAAACATTTTAAAAACTAAAAAACTTTTTAAATTAATTCAGTATTTTCTCATTGAATGATGATTACCAGATGTTTAAGATAACATGTCGTTAAAGAAAATAATCCATTTGTTGAGCAAAGTTTAACAAGAAACAATTATATTTAATCAAATTTATTGATTCATTATTCAGAATGAAACGGTTTCTGTATGAAAAAGTGTTGGGAGAAATTGCTCCAGACATCAATGAGTTCGGAATCTACAAGCTCAACTCCCATACCTGGAAAAATTTTATGAGCCAGCAGAACTACGTTCCTACCATGGTTAAATTCTACGCTCCTTGGTGTTCTCACTGTCAAGACCTGGAACCAGTATTTGAAGAACTAGGTAATTTTCAATTTCAGGGACCAATGGAAAATATTGAGATAACATTTTAATATAGAAAAAGAACTTTTTTATCATAGATAAGAATTTATTGATATATCAAAGAACTATCATGGGAACCCAGCGTTGCCCAGGGTACAAAGTTACTCCCACCGTTTACCCGCGCTTGGTCATAAATTACGATTTTAGCTATTTTTCCCCAACTCAACTTAGAATGTCAAAACCAAGCAAAGAACATTCCCGTGTTCTCCTGAGTTTCCCTATCAAAATTTAAGGCCAATCGGTCAAGCGATTTCTGAGTTCTGATCGGACATCCAGACAGACAGACAGACAGACAAACAGAGCTTACTACATTATATAAATAGATAGATAGATAGTCATATCCATCTATATCTATTTCAGCATTGACGTTTAGTTCCAGTAAGGATGTCATTACATTTGCCGAGGTAAACTGTGTGGATGATTCAAGTCTAGATCTATGTGCAGAGGAAAACATTGACTCATTCCCTAAACTTCACATGTACAGGAATGGGGACCTTGAGGATATTTTCACAGAAAACAGGTAGTTATTAAAAAAAGATATACATAGGATTCCTTGACAAAATTCAGATAAATAATTGATCCCTTTAATTAACAGGGATATTGACCATTTGACTAACTTTATCTGGGAAACAGTGGATCCAAGTCGAGTGGTGGAAATCCAGGACACTGCTTACATGGATTTCGACATTTTTGAGCAGCTTGGATCTGTTATGGGAGCACAAGATGAAACAGAGGATGAGGATTACGAGTTAGATGGCGAGGAAGGAGAGGAAGAAGAGGAAGAAGAGGAAGAAGAGGAAGAAGAGGAAGAAGAGGAAGAAGAGGAAGATGATGAATATGAGGACGATGAAGATGCAGCTGAGGATGGAGATGATGAAGATGAAGAGGAGGAAGAAGATGATTATAATGATGTGCCAGCAGCAGCTGAGGATATATTAAGTCCCGAAGGATTGGAACTACTTAAAAAAGAACTTGAGATAGATGAGAATCTGAAGAAAGCTAAAGAAAACTTTGAAGATATGAAAAAGGAGAAGGTATCTGAGAAATCAAAAAAAATGGATAAAGATGAACTGTAATTAAGATTTTATTAAATAATATTTGTAAGTCATAAGTCATAAGTCATTAAATAATATTTGTTTTTAAGTTTCAATAAAAAGTTTGAAAAAAGTCACGTAAGTCTGGCTCAAGAGGAAAAATTATCAGAAAGCAAGTGTACTATCTTTAAAAGCTATTTGTGACTTGTGTGGGTAGAAAATACTAAGTTTGAATGAAGTTAAATGTGAAATACATGCACAGAGCTGGCATTAAATTCATTCTTAATTCAGGGCGTCTTTTCATTATTAGGCTTACAAAATTTCCTTTTTTAAAACTTCGTAAACATCTCACTGCAGTCTTTCTTGTTATTAATTTTAGACCATTTAAAGTTAAAATTATTCCACCTATATTACTGTTAGTCATCTTCGAAAGACTTTGAAAGAATATAATATTGAAAGATTGTAAAAATAGAAATTCTATCAGCCGAGCTCTGTTATGTTAGAATGTTTTTATCTAAATCGTATGCGGGTCTGCATAATCGTATTTAAGTTCTTTCTCTCGACTCTCCCACTAGCCAACCTTACACAACTGGTCTCTGACCCCTCTACTAGGGTTACTGCTCCTTTAACATATTTAGTTAGAGAACAAAACCTATAAACAATCAGATATCATGACATTGACATTGTCTGGGCAATTGTATCTGCACTGCACGTTGCTTACATGTTACAAAGTACAGAATATGTAAACAATATGAAATATACAAACACTGAAAAATCCTTGTTTGAGCTTTGTACTTAAATAACCAGAAGAACTTGAAATATTATTTTACGTCTAGACTATTTCTTCTTTATATGATATAAGGATGGGGAAACTTCTATGGAGGGGAAATGATATGCGGGAATTTCTGTAGGGGGGAGGGGGAATTCCCCCCACTCTTAAAAATCTATTGCGTCTTTTCAATAAGTTCGTTTCTCGTATCATATTCTCCCGCATATCATCATTTGTCGAAAGAAAAATTATGAATGCGTATAAAATAAAACACAATATTAATATAAAGAGTAGATACTTAACAAGAATTACAAATAAGAAAGCATATAGTTAGGAATCCTAGAATTTGGAGGCTTCTCCCCCCCCCCCCCCCCGCCAACAGATTAATGATTTAGAACGCAATATTTCAATATTTCTTTACCACGTCACATTCAAATAATTACTACACCGCAGATTTAAGATAACAAAATTTATTTTTAAAATTTGGGTCAACGATATAAAAAGTTTACTTAAACAATTATTTAAAACCAATTGCACCCGCCCCCACCGTTCGCTCAACGAAAAAAAAGTCTTCCCATAAACCCGAACTTAATCAAAGAATATTTTGAGAATTTTTATTTCTCTCAGTTTTATTTTTGTTTTATTTTCATATCTTTTTGATAACACGAAAGAAATTTAGGGCACGTATAGATAGCTATGTTTACATTTCAATTGAAGAAAAAAAACCGTGAAATATTTCAATCAAAAGATAAAATTTATTTTAACTGGAAACAAAGAGGCGGAAATCTTATCATATCATTTGCTGGGAGAAACAAATTTAAAAAATTCTTTATTCTCAATTTGACACTAGTGTAAAGTTCAAAGGTTAGAGCCAAAATTTAAGTACCAGATAGATATCAACAATTAACTCAAAAATAAAGTCTATCATTCAGACCTGGGAAGAAATTAAATTTAGGTGCCATGGAGAAGGTTTTAAAGGTATTTGTTATTTTTACTTTGTAAGTTGTAACCCTGAACCGACAAAAGCAAAAAGTGGAGAGGGTAGCCCTTTTTCTTTTAAGATATGTGAAGAAACTATTATCTAATTTTTAAATTTTAATTGGCGCAGATGATTAAATTAATTATTTTAAATCATTTCTCAACAGTCGAATTACAGGGGACGTGAGCTGACCCCTCTCCCTAAATGGGTGACATGGAAACGCCTCAACACGGAAACGGCTCAACACGGAAATGCCTCAAAAAAACAGAATCATAAAACTAATTTAATGTCGTCTTCTCTCAACTTAAAATTAAAAAGACTATATTCTAACGATTTCCACAGCCATGGCCGCAGCGCTCGGCCTCCTAGCCTATTCTAGCCTCAGCGCACGGCCCACTTGCCTGTCCTAGTCGCAGTACTCGGCCCCCTAGCCCATATTCTAGCCGCAGCGCTCGGCCCCCTCCGTAGCCTGCGGCGCAACCTAACTTACTCTAAATTAATGGTAAAATAAGTGTTAAAATATTTTTTTTTAATGAGAGAAGACGACATTAAATTAGTTTTATGAGTCCGTTTTTTGAGGCATTTCCGTGTTGAGGCGTTTCCGTGTTGAGGCGTTTCCATGTCACCCCCTAAATGTGCCCCAAATTTTTCTGGGGGGGGGGAGGCTGCCCAAATTTTCCAACTTTGAAGATAGTTTTGTTTTCATTTAAAAATACATACAACTAAGTAACCAGTGGCGTATTTGGGGGGGTGGGGAGGTGGGCTATGGGGGCACAGCCCTCCCCTGGGTCAGTAAAATCTATTGTTTTCAGGATTATTTTGAAACATGTAAGGTAGACACATTTATGAATACGCCCCTGGAAGTAACACAGTTCTTCAAATTAATTGATCTGCCAATAATAAATTAGATGTAGTACTAAATCTGAAATAATCATATGTGGCCGCAGCGCTCGGCCCCCTAGCCCATCCTAGCCGCAGCGCTCGGCCCAGAAAGTGTCTTAACTAACCTAACCCGTGGCCGCAGCGCTCGGCAGATTCCTTTACTTGCCTAATTGAGATGTTTAATTAAGGGATGGAGTCTAATTCTATAGATATAACTTTCTGAATAAATTGCAGATTTATTCTCAAGTTGACGCCAAATCAAAGCAGTCAATAAATAAGGAAAAATATTTTGATTTAAGAATATAAACGTACTTATCACTTCCTGGTCAAGCAACTCAACGATCTCATTCTCAGGAAGAGTTTCTAAACTAAATTGATCTCCGGACATTTTTAATAATTTTACATAAAATTCACAGCCGCTATCCAGCCACGGAAATTGAGCTTGTTGTCACTGGCACCACTTTATTCTCCTAATTCGTACTGTCAACTTGTTTGTGTACAAGTGTACTGCAACCCGTGAACATGAGAACAGGTTTTGCAACATCCACCCCCTCGTGCCAGTGTATAACCACCGTGATGTATCTACCCAAACTGGCAAATTATACTAAGGGACGAACCGGCCGGAGTAATTTGCGCATGCGTCAACGGCTTTAATCACGCATGCGTAGAGTAGAATAGTGGCCTCTTAGAAACAGGTTAGATATAGAATACAACTGCGTAATACCAATCCCCCCCCCCCCTCC